TCGTTTAATATGTACAAAATTATACATCATTATCTAAAATTGTAACTTGTAAGTTTGCTTAGAAATGATTTTTAGATGGTAGTTTAAAGATTCATATGTTGCAAGAGAAATTAAAAAGTAATAATCATTTATTAAACAATTATTCCAAAAGACATCATTTGTAAAAGTTGGATAAATTGCATGGTTAGTCAATTTATATGATGTCTTTTAATTTGTGCCATTTTAATTTAATTTTTTTACACATATACGCCTACTTCAAATAACTATATCTGAAGTTTATCTTGTCAAAGTCTAATTTCATACATTTGTTATCAATTACTTCGTAGCAAGTACTACTATCTTACTTATTGACTATCTTATAATAATTCTTTTATTATCAATCTCATCTAAATAATGTATATATACTAACCTTTGTATATAGAATCTCGAATTTAAATGTTTGGTTCAGTAATTTTGATTCTTAGTTTTTTAAAATACTATATTATTAATATATCAAATTAATTTGATATAGTTCGATATTTTAAAGTTCGATTTTCATATTTTACTGGTAAATCGGTTATCATAGTTTGGTCAACTTAAACTTATATATATTTGTATAATAAAGAATTATGACTTTGACTTTTCAAGAAACGTCTCAATTATATCATACTAATACCTTATACATGTAAAAATATACAAAATAAAGTACAAACAATTCTCTTAATTAATCATTTAGACATTTACCCATCAAGAACATCTAAATCAAGTCAAAATTTCAAGATCTAAATAACTGGTCACTATTTTATATATTTGCTAATATTATATAACTACATATATATACTTGAGTATAATATTCAATATTTCAATATTTTTATTCATAAATATCAAATATCAAATATCAAATATCAAATCGAATACCAATTTTTTTTTAAAGACATACGAAATACTATAATATTAAAAAAATTCAATTTTGACATGATATTCGATATCTACCGTACCATGTCCATTAAAAGTGAGCGGAATTCGATATCGAGGGGGTGAATCTGCTCTTTTAAATAACAAAACGGACCAAACATTGCAAATATCACAAACGGAAAAATATCTCAACAAAGCCCGGCGTGCTTTCGAAGTTTGAAAGACGAACAATACGATAAGATTAATACTGTGGCGCATTAGGGAAGAAGAGAAGCGAAAGAGAAATTAATTCAGTAATGGCGTTGGAACAAACAATTGCATTCACTAACCCTTTCTTCTCTACAACTCCAAGAACCCCTGCCAAATCTCACTCTTTTCGATTTTTCTCTCCATCCAAGCAAGTAGAAACCGCGAAATTAGCTTCGGGTTGTCGTATAAGATGTTCATTTGAGTATAATAATAGTTCTGGAATTGGAAACGGTAGTGTGTATGAGTATGAAAGGTATGCTGGGGTTTCTCAGTACCCACGGCCTTCGGAAGTACAGTGGAAGAAGGAGCTTTGTAATTCAGTGCAGCTTATTGGTAATGTTGCAGTGCCGGTTCAAATTAAGCATCTTAATTCCGGAAAGGTTGTAGCTTGGACTCGTCTTGCTGTAAGGAAGTCGCAAAACGACACTACTTGGTAATTTAAACGACACCCAGTTGATTTGTTTGGTTGCTTGACACTTTTTTATGTTTATCCTTTTGAAAATTTTGACATCTTGAATGCAACTCCAATTCGAACACTTGTAGCCATTAAGGGGTTGTTTGGTTGCTGGTTAGAGTTAATGTAGCTATTAGCAATGCAACAATTATTATGCAGGATTTAGTTATTCCATCCTCTATCCTGTATAAATAATACATAGATTCCCTCGTAAGTAAGTATTAGTTATGCGAGATTGTAATCTGGTAGCGGAATACCAAACTTGGTGTGTGAAATTTTATGCAGAGCAACTAAAATGCTACCAAATATGGTACTAGTTATGTTGGTTTTAATACATGAATAATTTACATTTCTAATCAGCAACCAAATGACACCTAAGGAGGACCTTTTGTTGAAGTTGCAATTACTAGACTGCAACTCTAATTCGAACACTTGTAGCATTAAGGGGTCGTTTGGTTGCGGGTTAGAGTTATGTAGGTTAGTAATGCAAGATTTAATTATTCATGTATTAGTTATCCATCTTCTATATATAGATTCCTCATAAGTATTACGCGAGATTGCAAACTGGTAACCAAACACCGTATTTGGTGTGTTGAGTTTTATACATCTTTTTTTTTTGAAACTGGTAATGTTGAAAGTTTTGTACAATCAACTAAAATGCTACCTCGTTATACTGGTTTTAATACATGAGTAATTTACATTTCTAACTAGCAACAAAACAACCCCTAAGTAAACTATTTTCATTCACCAATACAAGTAGTAATAATGTGAGTGTGTTAGTTTAGAGGCAAACTTTTGTGCTACTGTGAAAACTTTAAGCCTTCATCCAATAACAAATCGAACAAAGTGATCCAACTATAATTCATCTAATAGGCACTCTATCATGGCTGCTTTAGTTTGGTGTAATTTTTACTGCGATAAATGATAATTGTATATCATGGCATTGTTCCAATGATCTGTTGTTACACTTAAGGGGTTAAAGAGATTATCTTGACGCCATCATAGCTAGAAAATTTAATCTACTGAAACTTTACGATGTGGAAATCTAATGAAAGATGCAGTATATCTACTATTATGCCATGAGGTTATGGCATCCTCAATTGATGGCCATAAAACTGATAAAGACTATTGGCAATACGCATACATCTAGTATCTTAACATAACAAGTAGTGAAAGTAGATGCATAATTTATGTTTTCAACTGAAACAAGTTTGTCTTTTTCTTTTACCTAATTCAAGATTCAATGTGGCAAAAGCTTATGACTTACAAACTGCTTCCATAAATCCATTGACTCATGAAAGCTATCTCTGTTGCTATAATCCTTGTATCCTAATGTCCACTGATCTACTTTTCTTCCTCTTCCACAACTGGACAGTGTCTGAATTTTCCATACCACATACCCAGAAAGTCAGTTTTCATGAGTTTCCTGATACCAATTTTTAGCTTGACAAGGGACTAGAAAAATCCCTAATATTGAAATTTGCTCGGGCACATGAGTTAAGTGTACTTGCGTTAACTAGTTGTCGAGCAAGATCTAATTTTGAAGTTTCCATATCCAATTCCTTTTGCGTTCTTAGAAATGCCTCCGCACTTCTGATTTTGACGACCATTCTGATGAATAAGTCTTGTGAAACCAACAGCCCTTTTGTTCTCCAAGTGGGTGCCTTTTTTAACTCTTTCCAAGTTGCATTCTTTTAGGACCAAAATATCTGAAAGCTGCCATTTGGTTTGGCATTACTCCTTCCCTCAAGCTTTCATTTTTTTCATTAGGACTTTGACTAAATTCTATTTCTTTTATAGTGTAGTTTACTAGTGTGTTTGTCCTCTGTTTCTATGTTTCCTTTGAGGGCTCAGATCATGTTCTTTTTGGCTTAGTAAATCTGAGTTTAACATAGATTATTTCTACATTAAAGGTTTTGTTTCATTGTTCTCGCATTCCTACTGTTGCTTCCTTAATGAATAAAAGAGAGGTTAAGTAATACTCTGCTTGAAATATCAATCCTCCTTTCCTATCTCTTTTTTATCCTACTTAATGACCAATAGCAGAAATTTCAGTTTCTATTTTTGTGGTTTCAGGATTAATTTGACATTTTGGGATGACTTGGCTAATGTTGCCAATCAACATGTAGAAAAAGGACAGCAGATATATGTGTCTGGCCGCCTAATATCAGATACAGTTGAAGGTGATGATGGAAAAGAACAGACTTATTATAAGGTTGCTTTACTTATATTTTTCTTTGGGTGTTTGTTATATTGACATCATGTTTGTCCTATATTTGTCTGACTGTGAACTTTTACGTTCTTTTTGGCAGGTGGTCGTTCAGCAATTGAATTTTGTTGAGAAGAACTCTCCTCCAATGGCCTCGTATAATGGGGATTCTAATTCCATGGCACCACGTAAATAACACTTCTTTACCTAAAAACTGTGTTTACTGCTAGAGTTGGATGCACATCTTTCTGGCGTTAAATTTTCAGAGATTTCCACTTGTGAATTTGCAGGTAAAAAGCAAAATAATTATGCTGCAAATACCACTGGATCCACAGAGGAGCTATGGCAAGCTTTCTTTGCTAATCCACTAGAATGGTGGGATAATAGGAAGAACAAGGTACCCCAGTAAAGCATTTCTTAAAAAGACATAAACAAGAAGTTGTTGATTGCCATAGCATCACTAGTCGGCTTAGTGTCCTTGCATCATAATCAAGTTGCACTTTTATACTTGTCTTTACTGGTGCCTGTGTAATGCACATGACATGCTTGCTGCAGAATTCCTTTTTTTGGGGTAAAATTTAGTGCCAAAACACTAGAGATGAAGAAAGTGCAGTTTGCTTGGGAGCAAGGAAGACAAACTAAAAGCAAAAGATAGTCTGAATCATGAACCTATTAAAGTGAAATGCTGAACAATGCTGAATTTGGGTGCTTAAATTTCAAGATTGATTAGACACTTGACAATATTATTTCATTTTGCTAATCTCTCACAAAATAAATACTCAGTGATATTATTTCCTTTGACAGAGGAGTCCAAACTATCCAGACTTCAAGCACAAAGATACAGGTGAAGCATTGTGGGTAGAAGGCAGGTATAATCCAACATGGGTGAAATCTCAACTTGCAGTACTGGATTCAAAGATGGAGTCTTTTCATGATCAAAATGGCAGCAGAAATGCAGAGTTCATGTCCATGGATAATTTCCAATTTTAGTCGTTCCCCATTTGCTTTCGCCTGTACTTCCAAATATTCTCTTGTATAGATTTGTTCCTCCCAGTAGGAACATAAATTTTGTATTACTTGTTTGCTAGTATTACTGTTCAAGGAATTTTAGATTTTCAGAGTAAGTTTTTGAGTCGTTCTTCGATTGTAAGCTAACAAGAAAACTAATAGACCTATTGCTGCCTTGTGCTAAAATTTTGTATTTCTTCCCGTATATATAAACTCATACATAATACACAGAAAATTCTTCGAAAAAAAAGAAGAGAAACTATTTGTACAAGTAGATCTAGATCTATATATCCCATGAAATTGATCGAAGATCAGATAGTGTTACAAAACTGAAACTTGTTCATCCCTAGTAGATTTGCATGTATGTATATATATATTTCCATGTTTTTATAGACATGCTAAACCTTTAGCTTCAGATCCTTTGATAATTCTAAGCCTTTTGCAAGAACTGATAAACATCTCCCATGGTACATCACCAACAAGCATCCAATCACCATCCTTGTCTTCATATGTTGGTGCATAATCAGATCCATTATATCCTTCTCTTTCTGAGTACACTCCTGAAATTATTCAACATAAAAACATAAGTATTTCTACTTCAACACAAACAATGAGATACCATTTACTAATTTATATTATATACACTGACAGTATAACGAAACTTACCAATAGTGCACTTGAACATGTTTTGTAATGCCTTGAGTAGCTCTTGGTAACTTTTGTAAACCTTAAGATCAATTTTCCTCAAGTAAGGTGCTCCATCCATGCTAACTTTTAAGTACATCCCTGAGGAATTATTATCAGATTCTGATAGTTTAGACACATGATTTTTCCTGTAAGATCGAACTGGTGGCCAACCAACAACTTGTGCTCTGAAATTATCATAACAAAAAAATTTGTTAAAAAACGATCGATTTATACAACAATATTCGGAAAAAAAAAGAAGTAAAAACAACACTTACTTTGGTGGAGGAGGTGAGTCTTGTTGTTCATTTTCATTTACACTAGATGAAGGTCTTTTTTTGCTATTTTTAGCAGTACTAGTTGATGTTGAAGATTCATCTATTATCCCAGGCAAACCTAATCTTAGTTCAGTTGCCTCAAGATCATTGAGATCCTTCTCGTAAATTCCCATAATTTAGAGAGCGGTCTGCTGTTAATCGATTGATCTTAGAGTAGTTGAGCTGAAGAGTTGTTTTGGAAATTGGCAAGTTGTTGTGAATTATGAGGATTGTGATATAATTATATAGGAAGAGTAAGGGGAATAGGCGAGTTATTCTCTCCGTGCATGAATCTCATAACACGGAGAAAATAACTCGCCTACGATTCGTTGTCATTACGCGCTTGCTTGCGGCCAGGTAAACGGACAGTGTGTCGAATACGCACGTTGGGTGCGATTTTTGCACGGAAGTTACGTTAGTTTAGGAACACAATTTTGATGCAACAGGGAATGGTGTCCCTCACATGACCGGCAATGAGGGAACATAAGAGGGACACTCCACACGCTAGTATTCAATGCCCTGCTCCAGAAAATCGACAATGAGTCAGGATTTTTATTAAGGGAGTTCAAAATCAGAATAAGCAAACATACAGACTAATCGAGAGGGTTCAACATCTACTATATATACAAAGTAATTTTAACTAGGTATAAATAGTTGGATGAACCCCTGACTATAAGCTTGCTTCGCCCTTGATCGAGGGTGGAGCTAATAAGGGTCGAACATATATATATATATGGAAAAATCCTTTTGGCCAGAATGGTGTTTTACCTATGTTATTTTACCCTTTTAACTATAATTCCTTTTAACTAAAAAATGGAAAAAAGATCAGTTTATTTTAAAATAAAAAAGATATTATACACTTTTTGAATTTTCTGGCAAATTTTTTTGACCATTTAGGATTACCCTATATATAACCTCTTGGATTTCTCGTGTTTTTACTTCTCGTAATTTGAACTTCAATTTTTTTTGGCTTCGACACTGATAATGATGAGTTAGTTTGACATAATGAGGGAGGAATTAACGTTACGTTACATGGAAGTTGGAACTCGCGCGGTTACAAGGTATTTTTTTTAAATAAAAAAAAATAAGATGCAGATGTATGTAAACATAAAAACATTTAATACGGCCGTGATTACATGCGTAAATGTTGTTCACAACAGTAGATGTTTAACGTTTTTAAAATATTTTTTAATATAAATGAAATTTTAAGTACATGATTTTATTATTGCGGACATTTTGTCAAATAATTAAGTGAAATTTAACGTGAATAATAAATAAATAAAATTATTAAATATAGTATTAAATAAGAAATATATCTTTTTATTGGATCGATTCTTAACTTTAAATTTGAGCTATTATTTATAGATATAGGTTTAAATTTACTGCTTATTTTGTTTTAATATAGTTGTTCTATTTTTTTTTAGTAGTTTTAAAAAGTTTTTTTTTTTGATACATTTGACGTATTTTTAATTTAACAACATAAAATTTAAAAATAAAATTTTATTTCTGAAATTACATGTCAAGTCAAATCAGATAAATAGATTAAAATGGAGAAAATATTTATGATAATTTTTAATATATAAATTTATAACACACACAAAAAAAGACTAATTTGATATGATTTTTTCTTTTTTTATATTTTTCATACAATTCGATATCTATTTTGAAATACGATTGAATTTGAATTTATATCGAACAATACCTTTTTAACGGCTCTCTAGCAAAAACAATTATGTCAAAAAAAAAGTTTAACATGAATTGGATATGAATTCAGGCATATAAGTGTCAGATCATGGGCAGAAATCAACATGTGAAATGGGTCCCTTAGGTGTCGGTTGATGAGTTTTAGGTCAATTATTAATTAGGACCTTACCTATACAAATTGGAAACCCTTTTCATCTAAATTATATTTTCTCCGTTTTAATTTATATGATATTGTTAGACTTGACACGAAGTTATAAATCTATACAGCTGTTGTGTAGACATAGATAGACATAGGCATGTTTATGGCCAGCTCATGGGTTTTCACTTAAATTAATGTTGATTTCCCTTTTAAGTATACGTATAAATTTATTAAGGAAAAGGGATCAGTTAAAAGCTTCTATAAACAGTAAGCTAATTAAGTTTAACAATGGATTAATAACTAATTGTAAAGCTAAGTTTAACAAACTATAATATATTAAGCTATAGCAGTTTGTTCAGTTTAGTTATATTTTCACCAAACTTTTCAAGTGTTCACTCCCTCTCCCCCCACCCCAAATGTTGGGCCACTTAGATATTTATTCTGAATGATTTTTTAATTAAAATTTTCATAAAGAGAGTTTTAAAATATAAAGAAGTCGAAAAGTTTTAACATCTACTAAATATATATCTAAAAAATAATTTTGACCATGTGTAATTCGTATTTCATCAAAGAGACCTTGACTCTATATACCTAGCTCCACTCTGATCGTATTCTTGGACTAACAATATTGCAATTAGGGTTCCTCCTCAAATTTTAATATGGTCAAATTCTTTGTACTTGTAACAAATCCTATAATTTGTAATCTTCTACCAATTTGATTCTTGTCCTCATCTCCTTCGTCAAATATATATCAAATTGAGTTAATATAATTATTAATCGAGTGATCATCTGACAAATCAAACATATTTTTTTACATCACAAACCACACGTTTCGAAGTTTAAATGACCTTTGTGGGCAACTATTACATTAAGGAATTTCATCCACACATTTAAATTTTGAACATGGAATTAATTAATGTCAATTCAATTGCTGCAACTTTAATTTGACAATGCATTTAATTAATTAATAGACTAATACTAGTAAGAGTTACGTTAATTGGTTGTTCAATTGATGAGAACCTCAATTTTCCACCACTTAGATAACGTTACGTTGGAGTCACTATTGCTACTCAATGCCAATTAATATCTCAGTTTAATTAATTACTTATAAATTAATCTTTTTAGTATGATGACTTTATAAATGTAAGTTTATAAATCAGACTATATATGTGTGTTTTGTGACATGTACAAGAATTCTAGTTCAAAGAGTTGTCATGTGTTTGACAAGTATTTTCTTCATTATAAATTTTTTTATATTATCATGTAAAAAAAAATATTATTGTCATGTCAATCACAACATTACCTCATTTTTTTTATTTTTTCGTAAAAAATGACCTCGTACTTTAATTAGGAGGTGTACGCAAAATTACTTAGAGTAAATCATAATATTCATAGGGAAAAAAAAAGAACTACATACAAGATGCAAGTATCCGTTATATTTAACTGAAATCCTACGTTAAAATAGCAAATTATGACAATAATTAATCTTGGTCATATTATAATTAACGTTTTTACGCATTTGATTTTTGTGTAGCATTATGTGATTTAAAAGCATGCACGTATTAAAATTAATATGGCAGATGCTAACCACATATATATATTGAGTCCAATTTAATTTGGCTGGCTAGATTTGAAAGGGTTATCGATCGATGGGGTCACCTAAATTAAATGTGTTATTAGATGAACAAAATCAGACAATATCACGCTTCAAAAATGTAAATGTCGGGTTGCCTTTCTATGCAATTAATACCCTCACCTGCTCGAATATGTATGTCATACATTCATAATTTGAATGATAAACCTACAAGAAAGGTAGGGTACGGAGTAACACTACTCTGAAAAGGTACGATAAATAAGGACAAAATGAGAAGAAAATATTAAGGTAATAATGTGATCACACCAAGTCGATTGTTACATAAAATGAGTATTTTCGTCGTTACCTATAACGATGGATTTAAACATACGATATAATATAATTTAAGTAATACTCAAAACAAATCATAATTAAACTAACAATACAATATAATACAACGCGTAACAACCATCCAAACAAGGTGTCACCCCTTAGGTACATGAGAGATCAATATATCCTACGGGGTTAAAGGTGGGTTCAGAGATAATGAAACCTTAACATGATCTTAGTGAACAATAAAAAAATGTAACTAGTGTAATTCGAGAGAATATGTCTAGTAAATTATCATAATCACCCAAGAGAGAATTGTGGTAAGTGGAGCGCTCAATAGTAGAGAATAAATTGGTGAAATTATATATAGCTATCGTAGCGAGCTGAGAAATTAATTATACTCAATACACTCATATATTTTTTTCCACTTCATATTCGAAGCTCGCATTAAAGCTCCGACAACGGAAAGATGAACAGACAAGAAGGGTCCACTACTCCAATTATATTTACCAACACATTTAACCTTGCTCTCGATCGTTTTCTTATATTTGGACCTAAGTTATCTATTTTCCTTTTTTCAAAATATTATCCACTACTATAAATATTCAATACTACTTTAATTTTTAACCACCTAAAGAGGGGCACACGATCGACAACAATGGATCCTTACTTGCGGTAGATTTGACTTTAGTTTCTATTCAATCCGTCTCAATTTATATAACATAATTAAAATTTTAAGAGTATGATTTTTTTAATTTTGAACAGTGTATTCGAATATATAATTTTTAATATTTTAATAAAATAATTTACATATTTTGAAACTGCATAAAAAGTACTATAAGTTATAAAAATTAACAATTTAAAATATTTAAAAGACATACAAATAAATTATAGTCAATTGTTTTGGTTTAACTCTAGAAACCGTAAACTATATTTAAATTGTATCATATTAGAAACAAAGGAAATACCACCGTTTATATAATTATATAATAAAATCCAATATTTTACATCCCACCTATGTTGGACGACTAAACATACATGGTATCAAGACATGCTTCTATTGCTCATACGATAAGTACGTACGTGTTAGTTAAGAATGTTCAAGATTTAATAAATATGTATGAAAAATATTTTTTGACCTAGATACGTCATATAAATTTTTAACATACATATAGTATAATTTTTTTGATAAAGACTAATGTCTGATTGATCACCTTGACATATATGTGACTACGCCACTATCAAGCTAAGCACGAGGTTCTGCGAATTTTGATGGACTTAATTTAAGTTCTCACACATTCTAGTTTCTACTTTCTTATTTCTTTTACTTGTTCGATTGTTCGTTATGAAAATCTAATGTTATGTTTTTACACAATATTATGAGTAGCTATATTTCTTATTTGGATTTTGATAATTAAATTTTTTGTAGGATAAATTCTTGTTACATTTTAATATAATTGAGCCTTTGAATTTCTCTACTTCATGAATTGTTCAGCTATATGTTCTTATTTTGGTTGACCATGCATCAATTATCCGTGTCTATTTATTATGTATTGCTTACGAAAATCTATATTTAGATAGTTATTGAACGACGTTATTTTTCAGGTATATGAGAGATCAATATATATATTACGAGATTAAATATGGGTTTAGAGATAATGAAATCTTAAAGTGACCTTATTGAGCCGTAAGAAAGTGCAACTAGTGCAATTTGAGGGAATATGCCTAGTAAATTATCGTAATTACTCGAGAGAGAATTGCAGTAAGTAAAGTGCTCAGTAATAGAGAATAAATTGGTGAAATTATAGCTAATGTAGCGAGCTGAGAAATTAATCATAACTCAAGTCTCCTTTATCTTATTTTCAACTTCATCCTCTTTAATCTATAATTTTTATATTTTTTAATATTTGTTATTTACTTAATTATAAATAGAAATCTTATTTTTATAACTCAGAAAATTCCAAAAAAAAATAATAAAAAAATCTTAGAATACACTCATGTTTTCAACTTAGCCAAGGGAGGAAGAACAGACAAGAAGGGTCCACTACTCCAATTATATTAAGTAAGTATTAACTAACACATTTAACCCTTTTTAGGGCATTACTCTGGATCGTTTTCTTATTTTTGGACCTAAGTTATCTCTTTCCTTTAATTCAAAATATCATCCACTACTATAAATATAGAATATTACTTTAATTTTTAACCACCTAAAAGAGGGGCACACGACAACAACCCTTACGGTAGATTTTGACTTCAACTTCTATTTTCTGTGTCTTAATTTATATGATATAATTTAAATTTTTTAAAAAATAAAAAATAACTTAATTGAGTTAGATAAAATATAGATCAAGCGCAATAAGTTATGAGTGATTATTTTGCATTGAAAGAAAAAAAAAACATGTCAAATAAGGTCCAAATTTAGCTCTCAGGCGGTCTAGGAATAACTTCATTAGACATAGAAGAAAGGAGTGTAGAATTGATAAGCTTTAGAAAGAAGCTATCCGATCAATAAATTCAGGAGGCCACTACAGGCGATCGAAGCACGCTTATATCGAAGAATGCTATTGCGTGAAGCGGAAAGGGATAGCGGAAGACCACACTAGACAAGAAAAACAAGGATTAGATTTTGTCAACCACCACTTGATCAACACGATTCACTTATCTGTTGAAAAGTATTATCCATATAGTAAATTCCTTAGGACATATGACTATAGTAAGGTAAATCAACCTATTTTATCGACGAGATGCAACAAAAAAGAAAATTAAACAAATTATGAAAAACAGTGTTTATAATCGTAACGATATAAACAAGAATACTCATTTGAGCTGCAGAAATATGTACATATGAAATATGAGAATTAACAATTTAAAATATTTAAAAGACATACAAATAAATCCTAATCAAATTTATTTTATTTGACTCTTGAAATCTTAAACTATATCATATAAATTAGGGGGGAAATTACCCCTTTTTACCTAATGCATAATTATATAAGAAAATCCAATATTTCACATCCGACCTATGTGGGACAACTAATCATATACATTGTATCAAGACATACTTCCATTGCTCATACGATAAGTACGTACGTGTCTGGATGGAGAAGAGGATAGCAACAAGCAACTTAGGAAAAAGGATAAGACTAATGTAACAAAAAATGGATGATGGAGGTAAATTCAGAATTTAAATTTTTTAACGTCGACTTATTAAATCTCAAAAGCTATGAATTTAATTCATATGTATTATCCATTATAGTTTTAATAACTTTTTAAATATAAATTTATATTTCATATAAAAAATAATATATTCAGATGAATTCGATACGATGAAGCATACGTGTGAAGAATTAATTGTTGATGGTGAGATGTGGACCTTACCACACGTGTAGTTGAGTTTTTGGACTTTGTTGACTTTTGAAGGAAGGCTGGCTAGTCATACTTTCTTGTCTGTAGGTATGGGTTGGGTTTGGGTCCAGCCAATTTTGGCCTATTATCTATGCATCCTCTACACCGCATGTGCGCCCATCATGTGTCACTTCCAAGAACCGAAACGATATATGTTTAATCATTACCGACAAGGATGGGATTGTTTTACCCTTATTAGATGTCTTGATTCGAGCTTTTGATATGGAGACAATCCTATTGAAAGTGTCACCCCTATATGGGTTCTAGCATATAGTGCGCGGTTCTAATTTAGTCGGTGCTCCAGTGTGGACTCCGAACACTGAGTGAAAAATCAAAAAATATATATAAATTTAATCATTTGAGTTTTGTTGTAAAGTCTAAGCTAAAAAGTAAATGATAATGTTAAGGATGAGAGAAAGAAATAAGAGATATAGAAAGGAAATCTTTTTACTTCGTAGAGTGTTTTTTAAAAGTAAATAATATGACTTCTCACCTTCTATTTATAAAAAGAATGATATAAGCATGATATTAAACGTTTGATGTCATGAGAAAAGTGATCAGAGACGTGACATTATGTATAAGAGATCATGAAAAGGTTGAAAGACATGTCATTAACGATTGATATATGGGTAGGTTATTTCTTTAGTCTGCCGCAATATTTCATAGTTCTCCCATTTGGATGGACACATAATATAGATAAACTCTTTCACAAAATATAGGAAGGAAATAACTCATACAAAGTATAATATCCGACCTTAAGCATTACATGTCAAAAATATTACTACATCTTATTTGCAGGAAAAAAGTAGTACTATAAACACCATTATTTCCAGTCCCTTGAACTTATTCCATCACCTCAAGCGTAAACGCAACGAAAGGTTCTGCACTCTCATCAGATTCAAGCCAATGGATAAAATTCGATTTGGCTAACTTTTGATGCCACCATTCAAATTTTCCCTCAGCACTCTTAGTACAGGTGACAAGTCGGGGGCTCACCTCAATTCGTCAATCGACTTGATCACCAAATCTGCATTGTTCTTGGACTTCATAATTAGCTCAGCATTGGGCCTGTCATTGTAATCTATCTGTGGAAAGAATTTAGCAATGAACCAAAATATTGTTCAATACCCAAAGAACAATAGGAATTGAGCTTGATGATATCTTAAAAGGGATTAACAGTTAACAGTTAATTTTAATTGTTCTTTCTTTCAAAAAAGAGCGGTATTAGAAGTGAGGCAACGCTTACCCTCCATTTAGCAACATCAGGGGACTTCCCTATAACATAGATGAGAAGGCGCCAATTAGTTTATACTACCCAGTGTCTTTCTACACCTTTTCTAGTAAAAAGAGTTGAAACAACAATTGGAATAGTACCTGTAGATATATGTCTCTTCAGGACACGTTGCATTGCTTTCTCAAGATCAACATCGACGAACCTAAAAGTAAATACATATAAGACAAGCATCTTACCACATCAAGAACAACTAAAACTTTGTTCTCATATAATGCTGCCAAGCAGCTAGTTTTTTAACGAGTCAACAAATCCCGTTACTAGCAGGCTTTTATAACCTATATCTAAGAAACTTAGGTATCATATCTTACAGTATATGAACATTAAACATGCATTTTCTAGTTTTAGCAACATGTCATTTTCCATTAAGTCGGGTATCTTTAATTGCTTGCTTTTTCTCAGATGGAGCAGATGGCTTTAGCACAATTTTTTCTCCTTGAAGACATGATAGGCATCACATTATGGACTTAGTCAGGGATCTTAACATTGATCCTTTTCTTTAACCATCTGGTATCTGGTACCACTAGCCCGACAAATCCAGATTTACGTCACATAAGGCCCATTAAAAGGAGAGGCGCTCCCAAGCAGGAGTTTCTCCATTCCCATGGCTCGAACTTACGACCTTCGGGTAAGGGGGAGGTATCCTTCCCCACTATATCCTTTGGTGGTATCTTGATATTGATTCACAAATCAGTTCCATTAATTGATAGATGTCAAATAATCAGTAAACCGATAGCAAAGACAATTGACACATTCACATATTTTGTGCTAGGCTGATGCAAACTCAACTTTTACTTGCAGAAAAACTCAAAGTTATCCCTCAGCATTCAGTTTAGTATATTATGGTGATTTCAAGGGAATTCACAAGGATTCCTTCCCTGTTGTCAAAAGAAAAACATGGATCAAAAAGATCATCTTACCACTTCTCATCAAACATGGATGATACCTCCTTCCAAGCACCATCTCCAAGCAGCAGATAATTACCTTCAACTATCACTATTTTGTGTCTGCAAAAACTCACCATGAAATTATTTTTTTTAAAAAGGGAAGAGGCAACGTTAGCAACAGACAAAAGAACTTCAACATTTGTCTATTCCTTATGTATCTTTAGAAACTTATTTAATTATCCAATCAAATTATTGAAATATCGGCGGACACCTATGAGAGAGCTATTAATAATTTTAGTTATCCAGTGCCCACAAGTATGAAGAAAAACTTTAACAGAAGTAGCACAATCATAGTGAGAACACTGATTGAGCTAACACTTCTAATAACAAGACACCTCAGCAGGCCTGCATATGTAAAACATTACCCAGCGGCCAGCTTTCACAGTTTCATAACGTATTCTTCACTTCACTTCTAACCATTACATAGAGCATCAACTAAATTCAAAGAAATGAATTGATAAAACTTATATTCTTTGTTCATTCATCCATTCATCAATTTCCCCTCAAAATAGTGAATTAAACACGCACGATTGAGACACATTTAGAATTTTATAGGGTGCACAGAAAATAGCATCCAAATTAGATATAAACTTACTGAAGGTTCACAAAGATATCATCTTCTATAGGATCTCCTACACCATGGTCAAAAGATGGACAGTACACTGATCCCTTGCAGAAGAAAAATTACCAGATCTTAGAATTTTCACTACATGAACAGAGCAAGGTAGAGGCAAGCAGAATAACAACCTCTTCTCTGGATGAAACATTAAAGTTCAAGCCCACACGAGATTAACTCAAAAGGCTAAAAAAAATCATTCATGGAAGTAAGTGCAAGTAATCAGAGGTGAATATTCACTCACCTGATCTTTAAGAGTCTTAAGGCATTCTAGTAGTAAATTGGGGTCAAACGTCCATGGAGCTGATTCAACATAAAGAGATTCCAAAGAGAGAAATAGAAGTTAAACCAGAAATTAATGCTTAAACTGTGTACAAACATATTAGCTATCTGCTGCGAAAAAAGAGAACTTACCACCCCTTCTCGCATGTGCTTCCTCTGGATCCTATAAAACAGGCAGACCAGTTAGATTGTTGGAACTATTACAAAGTTTTAAAATGAAATCTGCTAAACACATGCTCCAACCACAATATATGTACAAAGTTTCACTTATAATTCTGTAATTCAAAAGAAAAAGGCTGAAAAAATATTTTATAGCACCCAAAAGTGTGGCCTAGTGGTTAATGGAGTTGGTTGAGCACCATGGGGTCTCAGGTTCAAATCTCAGCAGAGACAAAAACACTAACACACTGGGTGGTTTCTTCTCATGTATTCTAGCCTTAATGGACAAAGTTACCTGAGACGTGTTACTGGTGGGAGGTGACAGGTATCAAGCTGGCCCGAACACCACGGTTATCAAAACAAAAAAAGTATTTTATATGCAGCTCATCTGTTGTTCTTTTACATTACTCTTTCATCTCTTGTTAAAGTGCTAACTCAACGTTTGTCCTCTGTCCATTACTCAAAACCAGCTAACAACACACATCAAACAATAAGGCTTTGTCAATTTCATGTAGATTTTCAAATGTTTTGGAAAAAAACTAAAGAAATTGCAGTCAAATGAAGCAACACGAATAATAAGAAACCATAGGAAATCTTACCTCCATTGCATCAAGCTGATGGCGATAAAGGTGGAATCCATCCATTGGAAGAACAATGGCAACTTCTGGAGGCTCAACTTGAGAATCAAAGGAAGGAGACTTTTGGGGCCATATCTTATTGACTCTCTTAGCTACTTCAGATGCGACAGTGCTCTTTCCAGCACCGGGAGGACCAGCAAGACCAACAATATGCCTGCATAATTAGGCAAGTTGTTCTCCTTAAGGCACCTCATGGAATTAGTCAACATACCAATTTAGTAGAGTGTTTGTTGATAACACTAGCAGTTTGTAGTTATAAAAGTCATGAAACACAAGCAATGGGAAAAGATCGGAGATGATAGAAGTAAATAATAATATCAATATAAAGAAAATGATATTAATATACATAAAAGGAAATATATGCATGTTTGAGTCAATAAGGAGATGTTTGTAGCCATAAACATCATAATCACTAAATTAAGATACACAATTCTACTCATTTAAATGATTCAAAGCATGTTATTTTACATTTCAGAGATGTGTTTTATATTATTAATATAGGCTCAACTTCTAATTTTGAAAAACATGCATATTTTTATTATTATTGCAACTGACTCATCAACTGATTTAGGGGTCATTTGGTAGGGTGTATAAGAATAATGTTGAATATGGTGTACTAGTAATGCTTGTATTAGTTATGCTAGATTATTTCTTATACAGTGTTTGGTTTGGTGTATTAAAAAAAACATGAATGCATAATTTCTAAAATAAATATTTGTTTACAAAAATACCTTCCACAAGTATGATAGAAGGGATATGAAAAAGGTTTTGAGCGACAAATGTGTCTTTAACCATGCTAATGCATGCATTAGAACCCTTTGCATTACTAATACCATGGATTTTCATGCATTAATTATACACACTTTAATACCAAAGAGAGATTGAAAAAGTGTACCAAACAAGGTATTAGTAATACAAAAGCTATTGTATGCATTATATTTTCTAATACACTCTACCTAACGACCCCTTAGTGACTATTATGTTTTATGTATATTCACTCGCTATTATTAACATATTTACACGGATAATCGAGACATATACATTTTGGTTGTCGCTTCTTGGGGTATATCTTCTTCTTTCTTCTTCCTTTATTCCCCCTCTCGGAGGATCTGTCGTCGTGTTTTTCCTTTTCTCTACGGCACATGTCATATTAGTCCTCTATATTGATATACATCTCATTCAGATAACCAGCCAAATGGTAGAGGCAGATTAGAAATAGCAAAAACTTAAATGAATCATTTCTTCTTTCCTTTACTTTCCCTTTTCCAGGTTCCAGTCAGTATTTAGTAAGGCCTTAAAGTTAGGAAGTAATTCAAGATAAACCATAATTATCTTGAAAAGCTACATGTAAATAGCAACCAAAATTTCTGCTTTGAGATGCAGATAAGCATCTAACAGATTTGCAAGATGATGGCTTACTTGAAATAAGGGCTTGATGCTGCTGCTGCAGTTGAAACAAGGTGTTCGGCCAAAGCATCATATATGTCATCCATGCACCTACAAGGTACACAAATATGAAGTCAAGCATATAAATACAAATTAATAAAAAATATCACAGTTGTATAAGGTGGCTCAACTTTACCCATCTCACAAGGACAGATTTTCTCATGCCAAGCGAGACGCAACTGCACAAGCTTTATCTTTTAACATATAGGCAGGAAACGCATTGATAGCTTATGAAATAGCCATATGTAGAAAAGGAGGTATCTACTATCTATAGAAGAGCAAGCATGACATATTCAGTCTAGATTGATTTTGTCGTTCCACTCAAACACAGATTTGTTTCTGGAGTTGAGCTATCTTTCCGGAGTTGAGTTATATCTTTTTTCAGTAATTAGCAATCTTATTCATGAGAAAAAAAAGTAGCACAGGAGGGCCCAATGTGGAAGAAATCATACTGAGAATAGGATTAGGCATGACCAAGCCAAGAGAAATAAAAATACAACAAACAGAAAACAATCAACTAATATTAAGTGTCAACCACAAAAGGATGTTGCCTGATCTAGAGATGTAGCTCATGTATTATATAAAAAATCTTACAGACAGGTAGAGCTCGTATCAATCTATACCATCATTTTTCAATCCTAGTTCTCGGCCTCTATCACTCCAGATGCTTTTTTGTCCTCTTCAAGTCTCTTTTAACTTTCCAGCATGAGACCATTGTGCGAGCAATATAAACTCTCGTGATTTAACTTGACCAATCTACACAAAAAAACAAAGGAGTCCACAAGCTCGGTGGTTGCTTGCGTCGTAATATTGGTACTGGTATTTCATCTTCAAGGAATCTGAAGTATACCAATTGCTTGTCCTACTTTGCAAGCATTAAGTAAGTGCTGCAAAATCCACCATAAGTTAACTAGAGTGATTTGTCCTATATCTAAGGAAGTCCCCTATATCTCCAATTGCTGTAGGCCTGTTCGGAACTAAATGAATGAACACCAGGCCTGTAAAAAACATGAAGTAGTGCAGCATGGTCACCATACTGTTGAACAACTATTGAACAGGGATGAGTCCCACAACATTGGGAAGTTCTTTCCGCACAAATGCCTCAACACTTGTTATTTTTCAAAAAAAAAATTACCGGGTGTTAGGGTCCGCTTTCGCGTTCCATGGAATACCTGTCACCTCTCACCAGCAAGAGGTATCAGGTAACTTTATCTACCAAGACTAGGACAAATAAAAAGAATCACCTAGTATTTTTTTGTCTCCACTGAATTTGTGAACATGAAACCTCAGGGTTTTCAACCACTTCATTGACCACTAGGTCGTCATACCCTTGGTGCCACTTTTTTATACTTAATAGTAATAATTTAACTTTAAACTTTTCATTTTAATCTTACAAGATGGTTATAGTCACCCGAAAATCTAAAACTTTTGATTTTTTCTTTAATAAGAAAAAAAATCGTGTCTAATCAAACAATTTCACATACAAGAGTAAAGTTAAAGGAAAACTAACCCGTCAAGCAAGTGCAAATGAGCCTCCAAATTCTGTGCACAAACAAGATCACTAGTTGGTTTCAAAAAAGGTGAATTCTTATGATCCAAAACCAACTCCACACCAACATGTGAATAACTCCATGGCAACTTTTCACATATCTTCACAACCATAGATGTGAAAGATTGGCTAGTTTTAGAGGACAAAGAGCGTGTTCTGGTTGACGACTTGATTCTAGTAAGGAAATTAGAGGGAGGAAGAAATGAATCGGGCGGGTTTGAAATTAGTTGTACCTTCGTGCTGATGGGGTGTACATGTTTGGAGTGTGAGAATGGAGTTATTGAGAGAAGCCATTGTTGATGAAACAAAATGAGGTTAATGACGAGATAGCTGAGGAGGGGTTAATTATGTATTGGGATGATGAAATGATGGTGGTCCTGTTTTATATAGTAAAATATATACTAATAATTTAAAAGAAACATGGAAGCAACGTTGATATAATATAGCAACGTGGGTTGTGGTGGATCGGAGTGGTGACACTATTTCACTCTTAATCAAAGATTTTGAGTTTAAGTTTTGGATATGAATTTGAGGACTAAGTAATTATAGTGTACATCAAATTTTGGATATGAATTTGAGAACACATATTTCATACCACGTATGCAAATATAAACCAAAAGCGCTAAAATAAGTTATATCTTGACTTATTATGTGAAATCTTATTGAATACTCTCACGACTCTAATAGTAGCTCAAAACTTAGTGTTGACACCCAATTTTGACCCTCCACAATATAAATTAATCATTTCGAGCTTCTCCAATTTCAAACGATTTAAAATAATTAGTTTTATAAAATTTCCAAAAAAATAATAATATAGTTTGCAAGATCTTTAAATAGTTTTGTCACTTTTCATAATTTTTAGATAATATATATGTTTTACATAATTATGTATGTAATTAGTATATTTTATGATTATTCGAAAATCATTTCAAAAAATATTTTTATATTTTAAATATTAGGGATGGTTATAATTTTGAATCAATGAGTTTTATGATATTCAAAATACTTTCAAGTTATTTTTTAAAAGTAATTTTACCATTTTTTAATAATAAACATGTATATTTTTGCAATCACGTTATTTTATAAATATTTGAAAATATCATCACAAGAGATTTTACATCTTAGTTAAATACTTTATTAATTTACTTTAAGTATAGTTATAATTTCGAGCTTAATTAGTTTTGTAATTGAATTAGTTAGTTTATAATTAAGTTAATTATTTTTTATTTCGTTAAGATTAA